GCTAAGTTACCACAAACATTTCTAACAAAGGAACGAGTTTTTATACCTTCCGCAGCATCACTAATGATGAGATCTTTGGGGTGGCCATGAGCATACTTCTATTCTTTTGGTAGATTTGAGTCGCTTTTTGGAAGAGCATATATTTCTTGAAGTTTCTCCATTTTCATTTCTTCTTCATGTTCACGTAATGGATTTTCTTCATTTTCTTTTATGTAAATGCTCTCCATGCTTGGTTGATTTTCTACAATATCATTACTTACAAGATTCTTGGAATTAATGTTGTTAGATTCATCACAAACCACATGCACAGATTCTTCAACAAGTAAAGTTCTTTTATTGAATACTCTATAAGCTTTACTGCAGATTGGAAATTAAATAACCAAGAAATATAGCTTCATCTGATTTAGTATCAAATTTTCCTAAGTTATCTTTATTATTATTCAATACAAAGCATTTACAACAAAATGCACGCAAGAAACTAATGTTAGGTTTCCTACCTTTCCAAATTTCATAAGGGGTTTTCTTAAGAATAGGTCTAATCATAGCATGGTTTACAACATAGCATGCAATGTTAACAGCTTTCGCCCAAAAATATTTAGGTAAATTATTTTCACAAAGCATAGTACGGGCCATTTCTTTAAGAGTTCTATTTTTTCTTTCAACTACTTCATTTTATTGAGGAGTTCTAAGGGCAGAAAAATTATGATCAATTCTAAACTCATTACAAAACATAATAAAATCCTTATTTTTAAATTCTCTACCATGATCACTTCTAATACTACAAATATTAAGATTTTTTTCATTTTGAATTCTTTTACAAAGTCTTGAGAAATTATAAAAAAAACTTTATTTTTATGTGCTAAAATTAATACCCGTGTATATCTAGTATAATCATCAACACAAACAAGAGCATACGATTTTCTTCCTAAACTTAATGTTCTAAATGGTCCGAATAAATCAATATGCAACAGTTGAAGCGATTTAGTAGTTGAAACGATATTTTTGGATTTAAAAGAAATTCTAGTTTGTTTTCCAAATTGACATGCATCACAAAGTTTGTCTTTTTCAAAAACAATTTTTAGTAAACCAATGACTAACTCATTTTTTGAAAGCTTGAAAATTAAATCAAAATAAGCATGTCCCAATATTTTATGCCAAAGCCAACCATTATCATTTATAGCAGATAAACATTTAATATTAAAATGAGAAGACAAATAATGCAAATCAAACACATATACATTCTCATGTCTATAACCTACAAATAAAATTTTATTTTCTAGGGTGTTTTCAATAGTGCAATGAGTTTTCTCAAAAATAACTCTATAACCTTTATCACATAATTGACTAATACTAAGCAAGTTATGTTTTAAACCTTCAACAAATAAAATATTTTCAATAATAGGAGGGGGATTTTTACCAATACTTCATACACCAATGATTTTATCCTTGCTATTGTCGCCAAAAGTCACATATCCGCCATCCTTTGGTTGGAGTGTGGCGAACATAGCTTTATTTCCAGTCATGTGCCTCGAACGTGCACTGTCGAGATACCATCTATCGTTACTGGATTTTATCTTGAAACATACCTACAACATTTGATTTCTCTATTCGTACCCATTTTTTTTTTGGTCCATAAAAGGTAGAATTTGACACTCTTGAAATGTCTTTAGGGACCCACATCTTTTTTATTTTAGCAAAAAGATTTCTTTTAACAGGACATGAAGGTAAAATATGACCTTTTATACCACAAAAATGACATGTGAGATGGGAGTGATTAGAAGATGCATACACAAAGCTATTTTTGACAGTTTTTACTTCTGAAAAAAGGTTTATATCCAATTCCAGCTCTACCAAAAGTACAATTTTGATTTTTAAGAATTTTATCTAAAGTCTCTCTACCTTGAGTGAATTTTGCAAGAGTATTTTTCAAGTCTTCAATATTTTCTTTCAAAATAATTTGCTCATTTTTTAAAGACTCATTTTCTTTTTGCAATACAACTAAATGTTTTTCAGAAATTGAAGACTCTTTTTGAGTTAAAATCTCATTTTCCTTTTTCAGTTTCATGGCTTCATTTTCTAAAACATTTATCTTGGAAGTTAATGATTCATTTTCTAAAACATTTATCTTGGAAGTTAATGATTCATTTTCTTTTGATAAACTTGAAATCATTTTCTTTTGACAATTAATTTTCAAACTAAGTTTCTTAAATTCAACATGTAATTCATCAAAAGCTAATTGTAATTCATCAAATGTAAAGGATTTGTCATTTACCTCATTTTCGTTTCCAAGTGCCATCAACCTCATTTTTGCAAACTTCGATTTTTGTGTCGCTTTCATCGCTATCTTCTCCCCATACTGCAATCATAACTTTCTTCTTGTCCTTCTTGAATTTTTTCTTAAGTTCCGGTCATTTTGATTTGTAGTGTCCAGGTTTGTTGTATTCATAGCAGGTAACTTCAGATTTTTTGTGATTTTCTCCTTTTTGAAAATCCCTGTTGTTGAAGTCTGTTTTGAAAAAATTTCGTACGCCTTGTTTCTTTCTCACAAACCTTTGGAACTTTCTAGTAATGAATGTCATTTCTTCATCCTCATCTGAATCATCTTCCTCATCCTCTTGATATTTCGAGGTGGATTTAAAGGCTATTCCTTTCTTCTTTTTGTCCCTTTCCTCTTCCTTTCCTTCTTGCATTATGAGCTCTTGAGTTAAGAGAGATCCCATTAACTCATCTAGACTTAGCTTTGATAAATCTTTGGCTTCGGTAATGGCAATGACTTTTGTCTCCCAACTTTTTGGCAATGACCTAAGCACTTTTCTTACAATTTCAGCATTAGTATATATTTTTTCAAGAGAAGTTAAGCCATTAATAATATCAGTAAAGCAAGTAAACATTTGAGGAATAGTTTCATTAGGCTTCATTTTAAAAAGTTAATAATTATGGACTAACAAACTGACTCTAGATTCTTTAACTTATTCGGTTCCCTCATGAGTCACTATAAGCTTGTTGCAAATTTCTTTTGCGGTTTTACATGTGGAAATTCTATTGAACTCGTTGGCATCTAAGGCGTAGTACAACATGTTTGTGGCTTTGACATTAATTTGGGCCATTTTAGTATCTGATTCATTCCACTCATCTTCAGGTTTTGGTACTCTAAGTCCATTTACGGTTTTGGTAGGAATTTTTGGACCATTGCAAATAATTTTCCAGCATTCATAATTATAAGATTGAACATGTATGGTTATCCTAGTTTTCCAATAGCTAAAATTTGTGCCGCTAAATAGTAGTGGCCTATTGGATACTTATCACTTAGGTAAGGAATAGCTAGAGGTTGCCATAATCTACTCTAAGATGGTTAAGTCACACAAACTAAAGTCTAGGCTCTGATACCAATTGTTATCCCAGGTAGGCAACCCAAGAGGGGGTGAATTGGGTTATTAAAAATTTTACAATATTAAAATTAACACAATATTCATAATTTTAACAAATAAAAAAAACAGAATAATAATTATCAATATAAAAGTAAGAGAGATAGGGAGAGAAAATCAAATACTGAGATTTATAGTAGTTCGGCACGCCAGGCCTACGTCCACTCCCCAAGGAACCTCCTTGAAAATTTCTTTACTATCAATTGAATAAATACACCACCAAACTTGTAGATTTGGTATATGACTTACTCTTATTTATTGAGCCTCACTCAGCAATAAATGTCTTACCCTTACAAAATCTCTCACAAAAATAATGAATAAAAATAAGTGGTAATTAAACCCTCTTTACAATAATTCTCTCACAAAGAGTAGATATGAAAGTGTAAGAACAAAGGCTACACTTAGATCTGAAAGTGAAAGAGCAGAAACAATATACTCAGAATTTTGAAGCACACATAAATTTTTCTCTTCAAGTTCTTGATTTTTCTCCACATATAACACTTCTATTTATATACAAAAATATACCCGTTGGAGGTAAGACGCTCCTTGCTGACGTAATGGATGACATGGGCACCTTTTCTTTTGTCAAACTATAAATTTTCTTTGTTCACTTTTTCTTTTTCTTTTTGTAAGAAAATTCAAAGCATTTTGCAAATTTTTTCCTTTTTCATTCTGTAGGCAAAACATGTTCAAAGATTTACAATGAAAAATTACATAAGTCTTCTCCTGTAATCATTACATTATATTAGACATGGGCACCTTTTCTTTTATCAAACTATAAATTTTCTTTGTTCACTTTTTCTTTTTCTTTTTGCAAGCAAATTCAAAGCATTTTGCAACTTTTTTTCCTTTTTCATTCTGCAGACAAAACATGTTCAAAGATTTACAATGAAAAATTACATAAGTCTTCTCCTGTAATCATTATATTATATTATATTACTTTCAAGACTTTGACTGTATATATATATATAATATTTAAAACTTTGAATTTAAACAAGCAAGATATGAAATTATTTGCTCCATCTTTTTCTTCTTTTTTATTATAATAATTTATATATATATATATGACATGATATAATCAATTGTGTAAAAAATCTAATTGGTCACGTGATGTATTTTATTTATATTATATGCATTATATATAATATGCTAAACAAATATTTGCATACATAGTAAAAAATCTCTTTAAGTAATATTTATGATAGATCTGAACATGTATACCCTTTTTAAATTTCTGTATATGTTGTAGAGATTTTAAATTAAATATAACCTATCAGTCTATGTGGATATATCACTTTTGTCAAAAGAAGGCAACTTATCAATATCAAATTTATCAAAATAATACAACCAATCAATATCAAATTTGTCAAAAGATGAATAGTGATCAGCCTAATTTTTCAAAAAGTGAATAGTAAAGTTTTCAAAAATATTTTTTATTTAAATAATATTTAACAAATGTATCATACAATATATATTTTAAATAGATAATATTTTGTGTCAAATAAAATAAAATATGTATATTATTTACAAATTTTCAATTAATATTTTAGACATCATCAACATTAAACAACATGACTAACACTGTCTTTTTCTAGTCTTGCCACACATCCACTTTAACATCATCATCTCAACAACATTCATCTTATATACATGTTGTTTCTTTGTTGCCCAACATTTCGTCCCATACAATATCACTGGTCTAATAGTTGTTCTATAGAACTTTCCTTTTAGTTTAGTGGATACACGGTTATCGCACAGTACCCCAGATGTACTCCTGTACTTAAGCCACCGCACTTTAATTCTATGGACCACATCTGCTCCAATTTCCCCAGCTATTGTGATAATCGATTCTAGATAACGAAAATGTTCACTCTTAGGTAATTCTTGGTTTTCAATCTTCACTTGTCCTCTGTTTCCGTTGTTATTGTTACTAAAATTATACTTCATGTACTCTGTCTTAATTCTACTTATCCTAAATCCTTTAGATTCAAGTGCTTCTCTCCAAGTTTCTAACTTAATGTTAACTCCTTCTCTAGTCTTATCCATTAACACGGTATCATCTGCAAAAAGCATACACCATGGCACATCAGTCTAAATATTTCTCATCAACTTATCCATAACTAAAGTAAAAAAATAAGAACTTAAGGTTGATCCTTGGTGTAACCCCATAGTAATTGGAAATTCACTTATATCTCTAACCTGCAATCTAATAGTGGTCACCACAATATACATGTCCTTAATCATATCAATGTAGCCTTTTTCTATTACTTTTCTCAAAAGATAGATCGCTTCCATTGTTAACATACTAGGCATAAATTCAAATTGATTATTTGACACCTTTGTTATATCTTACAATCGACGTTCCATCACTTTTTCCAATACTTTTATTATATGGCTCATCAGCTTGATTCCTCTATAGTTGTTGCAATTCTGAACATCTCATTTATTCTTATAGATTGACATTAAAATACTCTTCCACCGCTCCTCTAGCATTTTCCTAGTCAAAAAATCTTACTAAATAACCTAGTCAACCAAGCAACCCCCTTCTTATCCAAATAGTTCCAAACTTTAATAGGAATATCATCAGGGTCCTAAATCCTTATTCGATTTCATCTTCGTAAGTGCAATCTCCACTTTAAAGTTTCTAATCTTACGATAAAACCTGTAGTCTTGATTTTGCTTATTACTAGGTATTTTCTCTCCTTTTGACTTTCCTCCATATCCCTCATTCAACAACTTCTCAAAATCGTTCTCCCACCTCTCCTTAATCTCTTCATTTTTCACCAACACCTTAGAGTCCTCATTTTTAATGCACTTAACCTAATTAAAATATCTCATTTTTCTCTCTCTTATTTTAGCAATTTTGTATATATTCTTCTCTCCCTCCTTACTATCTAGTCTATATAGGTCATCACAAGCTTTCAACTTGGCCTTTTTCACTACTTTTTTGACCTCCTTATTAGCAAATCTGTACCTCTTAAGGTTTTCCTCAATTCTATCATTCTGTTACTTTTTAAAGCACTATTTTTTTGTCTTTACTACCACTTGAACCTCCTTTCTCTACCATCAAGTTTCCTTAGAGTTGGGTCATGTTCTTTTCGACTCTCCAAGGACTTCTTTTGAAATTCTTCTCATACAATTGGCCATCAAGTTCCACATAGTGTTAGCATCATCTTCCAAGTCTCAAATACCTTCTTCAACCATTCTATTGTTAAATAATTCTAGTTTATTCCCTTTTAGGTCTCACCATCTTGTTCTAAGACGCCCACTATCCTTCCTAACTTGGTATTGCCTTTTGAAGTATAAATCTAGTACCAAAATCTTATATTGAGACGCTAGGTTCTCTCTAAGAATCACCTTACAGTCGCTGCATTTTGGACGGTCTACTTTTTTCACTAGAAAGTAATCTATTTGGCTCATAATTGACCCACTCTTAAAGGTTATCAAATACTCCCCTCTCTTCTTATATATAGTATTGGCTGCCACCGGGTCAAAAGGCAACACAAATTTTAAAATACTCTCTTTAGCCTCATTTCTATCATGCAAACCATACCCACAATGCACACTCTCATGACCTAGTTTATCTATTCCTACGTGGTCGTTGAAATCTTCACCTATAACAAGGTTCTCTATATTTTCTCCAACAACTATTTTAACTAATATAATCCTATCACTTTTCCTACTAACTGTAACTACATTTTCTACAAGACCCTTGACAACTATTATTCTTACCTTCATTCATGTGTCTATCCTTGCCACTATAATATAGTTTAAACTCAGTCTCCTCTATTTCTCCAACTTTCTTGCTCATTCACTTAGTTTCTTCTATGAAAGTTATACTAATTTTCCTCTTAATTATGACATCTATCAATTCTATAGTCTTATCAGTTAAAGTTACTACATTCTATGTGGCATCCTCAACCTATAGTCTTGGACTAGGTTCTTTATCCGCACTTGTTCAGAAAAAATGTGGAAAGCTTTGCAAGTGTCGATGTAATGCCCCTTACTCACTTTTCGAAACACCTAGAGGTAGGCGCAACACATCACTTAAAAGGAGCAACCTAATATTTAATCGATTCAAAATAAGATGGGTAAATTATGCTGACACCCTTGAGGTTTCTATTTAATATAGATTCTCTCCCACATTTAAAAAATTACATTTCCCTCCCCGAGATTTGTAATCTCATTACAAATTGGCCCCTGAATTACTGATGTTATGCCCTACAATTTTCTAAATGGCCATCTTGTTATGATATTTTTTATATAAATTTTTATATATGAATATAATTTTTCATTTTTATTTCCACTATTATATTTAGATTAGATCAATTTAATCTAGATGTATTTAAAAAGTATAAATGTCACGACCCCATTCCGCCCCTAGTAGAATGGTGCCCAGTAATCCGAGATTACCAAAGGCCAACTTACAAGGATTCATACAATCCGAGTATACATATGGGGCTTACATGTGCGGAAGCATTAAATTTAAATCTAATTAGTCCATAAGAGCAGTGCATAGATCAAATGAAATGACATACATTTTAACATGGTTTATAACTTGGATACATCTCGATCAAAAGGCTTCTCAAGCCGAAATATACAAAAGACATGAATTACAAACTAAGAAGCATAATCTTCAAGATGGTACAAAACATGAATCAAAACATCTTGCAAATAACATCTTAGGCATCACCACCTTCTTGCTCGCCACCTACATATATATAAGGAGAGGGTGAGCTTGGATACTCAGTGAATGATATAATTAATAAATGTTTGAATGAATGATATCCGAGATCTTTATCAAAACAATACATATAATAACTTGTACAAAACATGAGATGAATCAAGTTCATCAATCAAAATCTTTCAAAGCTTCTTGGATGTTGATAACATCTACATAATACCAAAGGATGACATTCCGAACAAAACAAGGGAATAACCGTCTCGAAATCGAAGCACACCCGTTCATGACCATCGGTGGCCGACCCAGAATTGGTTAGACAACCCACCCGGAAAACCGTCGGTGGCAAAACAAGGGAATAATTGTCTCGGAATCAAAGCACACCCATTCACGACCGTCGGTGGCCGACCTGAGATCAATTAGACAAACCCATTCGTACAAGACTGTCGGTGGCAAAAGAGATATCTCAACAAAGGTGCTACATAGGCTTAAAGTCCCCTAGCACGAAAGGACGTCTCAAGAATGTCATCAAAACAAACACAATACCACTCACATAACCTGATTTCCCAAAATCCGATAACACTGAAACAACTACTCCCCCATACAAAACATATTCTGATCAGTCAAGGATAAACGTTCAGTACTACTTATAGTCAAATCAATCTGTCGCCATCGATTCCCATAGCGTCAAACAAACAAGAATGTGACAATACACAACCATTGTTCCATAAAACTCCCAATCATTGGATTTGCTAAATCCCGTTCACTTGTAACAAGTATGTCTCCAACAACTATAGGTCGGTTCTTCATACTGTTCATGGTTAGATCGGTCTATTGATAGCCCGCAAAAGGTTTTTCAAATAAGTCAAGTAGATAAGGCCTTCAATTTAAATTCCGAAGACAGAGTAATTTACTGAGAATTTATTGAGAGATCTAGGCAAAAATGACCTAGCTGGGTGAACTCAGGAGGTCTTGGCAGAGGTCCCACACCTCTTGGCCGAGGTGTGGTTACCTAGGCTTCGGTGTGCAGCTGCCTGCCGAGGTGTTACAAGGTGCCGGCAAGGGTGTACCGTGGTCGGCCTAGGTGTGCAGTGGTTAGCTTAGGTGTGCATGCAAGATAGACTAATGGTGCAAGTGATCATGCAAGGTAGGCCAAGGTGAGATACGATACTTGGCCTAGGTGTGAGATCTAGGCAAGAGTGGTCTCGGTGACCACACCTAGGGAAAGGTGAAGTCTGGAAATCTGGGTTTCCTCCCTTGAAGAACATGAACATGAAGAACATGAATGCTAGATTCATAACTTTTATTCCAAAATCTGATTTCATGATATGAGTTCAAAAACATGGACCTGGGTACCCATACTTGGAGATTTCATGAAAACAAATACAAAAATATGGAACTTGTTACAAACTTTTGGATCAAAACATGATTTTTCTTCAAGAACACAAGAACATCATTTTCTCTTTCTAAAACCAAACTTTAAATCAATGTATGGCTTATGAATCATGCTAGATCATGCAATGCAATTAAATCAACATAAAGAACGACAAGAGTAAATCAAGAATCTAACCTCAAAATGCAAATCCAACGGTTCAAACTCTAAGGATCAAGCTTGGAATCTAGCTCTCTCACTCTAAGAACTTCTCTTCCTCTTCCTATAACTTCCCTCTCTTCAAAGGCAAAGATATGACAAATGATATGTTTTCTCTACTGTCAGCAGACTTAACCCTCTGCTGGGACGCATGGCAACGTCTAGTTGGGTCTCCTCAAAAGGTGACTGAATGACAAGATAAGAGCATGACAAAGGGTGTACAACAAGTAAGGTGACAAGGGCACTCTGTCAAGGCAATGACCTCGGATCAAGACATAGGCTTCGGGCAATAAGGTTTCAATGATCTCGGCTAGGAAGGATAACACTCGGCCTAGTTGTGCCACACCTTGGACCAGATGTGCCACACCTCGATGTAGGTCATACCAGTCCAGGAACAAGATCACTAGGTGCAAGGATCAAAGATCTAAGACGCCTAGATGATAACATCTGGGCCTAGATGATACACATCTTGGCCTAGATGATGACATCTCGGCCAATGTAACGCCCTCAAAATAATAACAATAAACCCATCAGATAAGACATGCATTTACATATAAACTAACCACATTCTTTCATTCATTAGAATTCCAAGACATAAGTATTACATGTTAACCTCATAACAAAATGCCCTACGGGCTTACAGCTTTCCAAGTTAACACTTGGTTACAACAAAGAGTTCTAACTCGTTTACACATTAAGCCCTTGGCTTGAAATTACATGTAATACATCAAAAGTAAAACGAAAAAAACTATGCCTGCCACTAGTCTCCCAGCTATGTCCTTGGAGGTGGCATGCTTCCTGCACCTGAAAATGATATTCCCATATAGGGTGAGCCACAGCCCAGTAGAAATACACTAAACCAACCATGGACAAGGACTAAAACATTAGCAATTGATAGTTGATCAACACTGATACAATCACATAAATAACATATTTATGTCAACGACTTACAAGTCCCAATTACTTTTCATTTTCCCTTTAACAACAGATAAGCATACTAGCTCTATCATCATTTCCACAGAC